CCCCAAAACCCCAAAACCCCAAAACCCCAAAACCCCTTTAGAACCCGTGAAGATTGAGATCTAAATTTAGCTATAACTTTTAGGTTACATGGCTTCAGTTACTTCCTATTGTATGGGAATTCTACTTGTCACGATGGAGGAAGGAAGCCCTCTTTTTCCTAAGGAATTCAATGTAATCACAATTGATTAGTTGTTCTTTAAGAGCATCATCATTCTCGATCTTTTTCTTAAGCTTTCAAAGCAAGCTTCTGTTGATGTCTTTAGGGTGAATATCTGTCCTATCATATTTTTGGAAGTATAGAAATTGGGCCAGCCTTAATATTGTCCTTTTCTCTTCATTTCTTCGTCTGATCTGTAGCTTGATCTTATAGCCTGGATTTTCTCCTGCATGGAACTTTGCCCGATGACCTCCGAGTCCATATTTTGAGAAGTATTTTCCTCAATCTTTGCAAAGCATGCTTCTGTCGCCTTCAGGATGTTCAAGCCCTCTAAGGTTCCTGCGTTTGGTTGAACTCCCTTTATTTCTGTCTTTGTTTGGAGGGGTTTTTAGAACGAGGAGGAGGTGACGGTCTCTCTAATGTTCTTTTAAAACTGCTGTTATAAACTTTTGATTCTTCTCTGCTATTTCTACTGGGAGATTTATCATTAAAAACACACTTAATCTTAATGTATGGATCTTTTGGACTTAGGTCAGGCCTCTTTTCTTCGATGATCTCTACATCTGAGTCTGTGTCGACTTCGACCTTCTCTGGAATATGTAGCATGTGCTGGAGAGGGTTCAGAGGAAGCACAGGGAGGTTTTTCATCAGTGACTTTCTGACTCCGTTGATGTCCCTCCGAATTTCTCGTTCCCATGATTTTATCAAAATGAGAGGGAAATTAGGATTTGATTTCTCAGATTCATCAAGTTCATCATCCGAATCTAGATCTTCCTTCACATGTTTTCCTGCACGAATATCCCCACTAGCCTCGTTCGGGTTATTTTCAGCTACGAATTCTATTGATGGGGATCTTTCTCTCAGCTTCAGTGGTTCTTTTTGCTTATCTTTCTCCTTATTTTCTACTATAATATCCTAAAGGCCAGTTAATTTGCACGAACTTAGGAGTTTTCAGTTGAATTCTGGTTGGTAAAATTACAGAAATAAAGCTTAAAACCCCAGAACTCTAAAATGTGCTGAATGGCAGATTAGAGAGGTTACCTCTTTGGCCCCGATCTTGCTGATGGTCCTCTTATTGCCCTTCTTGTTGTTGAAGACTCTGGAAAGAGCTTTCTCGATGTCTTTGGAGTCATTCTCTTCTGCAGAAGCAGAGCTGGCTTCTATATGGAGGACTTTATTGATCACAGACATTTTGAGAAAGATCTAAGGAATGAAGCTTGCGTTATAAGTTACGGTGACGCTTCTTATTTTCGGATTGAGTAGGGAAATTCTGTGAGATTTTGAGGGTTTTTGGATTTATGAAAAAAATCGAATTTTGAACTGAATTTAGGTGAAATGGAAGAATTTTGCTAATTTTGGACTCAGATTAAGTTTGTGGTAGAGTAAAAGAATTAGAGTTATGAACAATTTTTACAAAATTGATGATTTTAGTGATGGAGTAGCTAAAGTATGCCAAATTATTAAATAATAAGCAAAAATTGGTTAATATATCCATGGGTAATCTTGGAGTATTGCACTAATTTTATTGCAATAAGGATATGTCTGGAACAATGATTAGTCTTTATTAAACCTTGACATTCAGCTTTTGGAATTGTATACTCTCAAATCAAGCCCTATGCTTACCTTTATTTTGAGCATCGCTCATTTTCTTTTATTTTAATTATGAAAGTTCATTTTTAAAGCCAAAAACTGGGGTTTTGGGGTTTTGGGGTTTTGGGG